AAATATCACCTGCACGCTGCAGTCCCTTCTTTGAATGTGTATCTGTAAAATTATTCATGATCTGACCCAAGGGCTTGTTCTAGTGGTAAGAGTGTAGTGCGTGAAGTATTGGTTAGGCTCACGTCACGAGTTCAAACCCTACCATAAACAAAATTTGGGTATTTAAGTGGAGAAGGGTAGAAAGGCAGGCGCATATTATCCATTGAGTTTCGAACCATGCGCCAGCCAACCCTCGGGAATATCTTGGTTTAAAAACCATGATCTTAACATCTCATTCTAAAGCCATAAGGAATTGGTGGTTACCCTGAAACATTACTAGAGGAAAGCAGGAGGTTCCTCTTTGTGCGGAGATTATCAATGGAGTTGGATGGGAGTTTGTTCTCTTTTTTTAATTTTTGTGGAAGTGGAAGATTTTTCACTATAATTCAGTAAATTATGCGTCAAAGCATAATGTCTATCCTTTTTTGTTTCTTTTAAGTAATTTTATACTGTATATAATTATAATCCAGCACAAAGGAGAACTTTTGTCTTCTCAAAAAGTTTTGGTCTTAGATAAGTTACCCCAAAGAAATAAATTTGGTCTTAGATATGCAAGAGTATAAAGGTTGATATACTCTCCTCTTCTCAGCTACATAAATTTTTCCTGACAAAGAGGATATGAACGAGTTCATCTGAATAAAGGAGCACGAGCTTCTGGTGCATTTCTATCAGACATTTCTGACCTTAAGCATAAGAGAATAACATCTCAACTTTTTATTTATTTATATATTTATTTTTTTAAACATTAAATTCTGCTGAATAAACAACACAAAATTTTGAATATGATGCTAGACTGATTTATTAACAAGAGAAAATTTCCCCCTAAGAAAGTAACGACAACTATCATTAAGTGGTAATATAAACTATAATTATTAGAAGAAAAATGATGGGTGGTAATATAAAATGGGGTCAGGATGATATTGTGGGGATTATAATACGGAGATTAAATAATAATGGGATTATCTAGTGGAATACTTCTTTTGGTAAATGTTTTGGATTAAGAATAGGATATACGAGGTATAATATAAAACATGTGTTTGGATTTGTGACAGATAAATTTGGATAGATTTTTATTTTCAATTTAACCTTGGTCTTCTTCTAGGACTTTGGAAGAAGAGTTTGGGAGAGTGATAGTTTTGTCTTTTGGTTGTTTTATCCCTGGATTAGCTATCCCGCATTAAATCTGGTATAAAAATAATACCAAAATTGTGGTATAACTTATCCCGGAGACAAAATTCTACCAAACAGAGTTGCACAATCCCAGATTTTAAGTGAGGTGGCAGTGACTTGTGTAGGATATAAGTGGACACATCTGCAAATAGTATTAACTGTGAATTATACTATCAATTTGCTGATTGAAGTTATGCTGAATTACTTATTTATTGATCTGATGTGTAGGTCGAGCATATTTGATGCTAAAGCTGGTATGGGCCTGAACAACTCATTCATGAAGCTTGTCTCCTGGTATGACAACGAGTGGGGTTACAGGTATGAACTTTTGTCTTTTATCCCTAACAACCCCCACCCAAAAAAAAAAAGCTGTGATAAAATAAACTTAAAAACTTGTCCATACCCCTATAGCACAGAACTGACATGGTTCTACTGGACTTTAAATCTTTGCAGCAACCGAGTGTTGGACCTCATAGAGCACATGGCGTTGGTAGCAGCCACCAATTAAAATACAAGATAGGAGCTACTGCAAAATTTGGCGCAAGCAACAATTTGTATTTGAAAAAGTTATGGAGTTATAATGCTCCATTTTGGTTATGGAGTCAGTTAAAAATAATAAATAGTTGGACATGTATGATTTTTTACACTTTTTTGTTAAGGATGTGATTATATACACTTGATGCATCGGCCAGAGGTGGACATTTTTGTTTCTTTAAAAGGAGGGCACAATAGTTGTGTCAGGTGTTGCATTAGTCTCATTCTCACTGAGAAATAACCTGCTAAACTGGTAAATTCATATTATAGTAGTAGTAGCAGTAGTATTTTCCTTAGAGTAGGATGAGCAGAGTCCTTGCAAAAAAGGTGCCAATCTTTTTCGTTTTTGCCCACTGGTATCTTAGGTAGAAATGACACTAGGTGGCCTCTTTAAAGGGTTGTTATTTAAAAATTAGTCAATGTTTCCTGAATTTCAGTTTTTCGAATTTAAGAGCATCCCTGAGAATGACTATTTGTGTACTTGCCCCTAGCGAGCTTAGGTAGCTCAAGAACTCAGCTTGTTGACTCGGCGAACAAGATTAGCTAGCAAGCTTATGTAGCTCGAGAACTCAGCTACACTCGGGGAACTTGTTCCAGAGTAGAAATTCAGTCACTGACCTTACAAAATATGGTATTTATGTACAGCTTGATACTCAATCCTGGACTAGCTAGCCCATTCTGTTAACTAAGCTACTAAGCACGTTTGTGCTAAACTCATCGTGCTGTTAACTTGTCCCTTAGTATTGGTACAACATATTAAGAAATCGTGCTGTTTCTAACTGCTGCGAATGAGATGATAACTAACTGCCCCTAGTTATTTTCGCAGTGCACCTAGGCATGATAAAAATATAGTCTCCCTATTTCAATTTAGTGAACTTATTTCTTTTTTTGTTCGTGCCAACAAGAATGACCCGTTTTTATATTTGGAAAAAATTATACCTTTATGCAATGCTTTATAGCCACACAATTCTATGTAACTCATTTAACATTACAAGCTCAAAGTCTTCTCTTTTTTCTTAAACTCTATGCCCAGTCAAATAGGTTCATATAAACTGAGTATATAAAATTATGAATTAATAGTGCCAATAACTTCCAAAATGCATGAAAAAAAATAAACAAAGAGCAAGTATTGACCAATTTATGATTTTAACCTATAAAATATCCAGGATAAGTGCGTCTAATTTGTACTCTATTAAGCACTTGGAATCGAAAAGGCCAACGAAAGAACATTAGTGCATATCCTTTTTTTCACTTTCATGCATTATTTTTATATAATGGAGAATGACACACCATAAAGCAAGGAAAAGGAAAACAAAGAAGAGCAAGGATGCATGATTCATGTTGCATGCTCAGCAATTAATATTTTTAATATATTTAATTACGAAATTAAATTTGAGATTAGTTTATTTCACATTTGGTTGGGATAAAATCTTTACATAACTAATTCCGAAATTATAGTGTTATTTTTATCCCTATGAGAGGGTGGGATAATAATTCAAATATAATTAGTCCTGTAATAACTTGTTTCCTAACTTGATAACAAGCATGAGTGAAGCTACATGTCTTAAAGGGCAGGGGCGGAGCTACAGTAGTGGGTGCGGGTTCGGGCGAACCCAGTAACTTTTTTCGAAATTCTGTATTTATATTGAAATATTTACTAAATCTTTATCGAAAAATTACACTGCGTATATAGGTAATATATTAGGTTTTAGAGGTATATAACATATGCTGAACCTCTTTGTCGGAATTTTTTTTTCAATTCTATCAAATTTGAATACCTTGGAGGAAATTACTGTCTTCATAACATGTGTTTACTAATATAAGGTATTGAGCAATTGAGGAGTAGTTGCTTTTCTGCCAATTAAGTTTGTGATGGTACGTCAGTTTGAGTGTCACGTTTTCCGTATTTCTTGTCCGATGCTGATGTGGGTACATGGATAAAACACACTAGCAAAAAAAAACCTTTTATCATTATTGAAGAAGGAAGAGTCCTACTTTAATTAAAAAAACGTCATTACCTCAAGTGGAAGTGCTTACTAATTAGTACTATAATAATAATGGCTGTTTGTATTTAATTATTTATTTGTATGTATAGTCCAGTCTCGACCGTTCTCTATATTCCTCCGCTCCTTTCCTTCTCCCCGAGCTTGAAATTGAAATTCAAAACGCACGAGATATTGGGGAAGACGTAACAATGAGGTTTGAGATTATTCCACGTGAAAAATGCACCATTAGACCGACAGGGTTACAAGGATTGTGGTGAATTGATAAGTACGCTACATGAAGTTGTATTTCTTAAAGAGTATTTTAGCCCTAACATGAGATTTGTTTTTACGTGAATTTGAATTTAATCAAAACTTATACAGATATGAAACATCGAATGAAAAATTAAAATAAAAATACACGATTATATATATATATTTATTTTGTCTATGACATTTGGTAATGGTAGAGATCAATGGTAATCAAAAGGGCGAAAACACGAGGAAGGGAACGCAGGGTATTAAGTGGTAAATAGAGACGTCTCACTATTGCACGAATACGTAATCTCTTGCGTGAGAAGGTGCGGCCACGGCTATTGGCTATTGGCTATTGGGCTATTTTTTAACCTTTTTTAAGAATATCGGACGTGGATAGTTGGACTTGTCTTGTCGTGGTGCAATTCTCATACTCTTCCTCACAATCCCACTTCCCATATTTGATATTCTACTGTGCCAAATCAAAAGTGTCAAAGTTATAGAATTTTTATATTTTATTAGAGTGTGAATTTATATTCAAATTATATGTTGATAATCTTAGTAAAATGCACTATGGTATGTCCATATATATATNTCTTTAAAATTTGTGATATTGAAATGCCATTGACATTTATGATTATAAGAATTTGTCATTAAATATAAAATAAGAAAGTTTAAATTTTAAGTTTTCCAACATATATATGTATGTATATGTATATGTATGTATATATGTCACTTTTCTTTCTATTGCTTAGATAATCTTAATTTTTTTTTGATTTTTCATTCGGGGTTTGATATCCGTATTAGAGCCAATTAAATTAAAATTCGCTGTGGGAACTCCACATTGGGTTAAAGCGCTGCAACCAACCTTCGTTAATTCTCAAAAATTAATTGAAAATCAACCTCATCTACAATTTCATTACTTAAATATCTACCTTTTTGAAAGAAACATAAAGTAAATTGAAACACGAATAGAGTAGTATAAAAAGATTATGGCAAACAACATTTCCACCATTATTTTTTCCTATATAAACATTAATCATACGACTACAACCAGAGGAATTAATCGTTCAAATATAACTAACTACTCCTCTAAACATGGAGATAAGTCGCAGCAATGTTAGTGGTGGTGGCGGCAGCGGCGGCGCTCTGGACGACAGTTTTAGCAGTTTTAGGACGGAACTGCTGTCTCCGGCTGCTCAGGCGGTGGTGGATCAGTCGTCTTCGTCGGCGTCATGGAGACTTAACATTAGCGAATTCCGTCTTCCCGAACGAAGCCGCTCCTCCTCCGATCATCACTCCTTTAGTGTCCGTCGTCTACTTCCCACTCCCAGTATGTGTATATATATATATATATATATATATATATTCCTCACTTCACTTGTCTTTACAATGTATTAAACCTTTCTACTTCCTTTGAACTTCTTCGGATTTGTTAATTAATGTTAAGAGATTTGAGGGAAGCCTTGGCTTACTGGTAAAGTGATGGCATGTGACTTCCCAGTCACATGTTTAAGCCGTGTTAAAGTTGTTGGCATGTGACCTCCTGGTCACAGGTTTAAGCCGTGGAAATAGACTTTCGTAGAAATACAGGTAAAGAAATGCAGGTAAGGTTGCGTACTTGTGATCTGGCCCTTTCTCGAATCTCGCACATAAATGAAGCTTAGTGCCTTTTTTTAAGGTTAATAGTTTTTTAGTCAGAATAGTACCAAAATTAGACTAGAAGATTCATAGTTCTAATATTGGTAAACCAAAATTTACGACTTATATATATTTACATAAATGGGCGAGGAATCTTTATTCTTATCATGCCATAGTCCATGGAACGTACTGAGCCTTTAATTTCTATTTGCTATTGCTGGGAAATGAATCAGATGGCCAATTTTCTTATGTATACATATTCTCACTGGTATGGGATCGAATCGGCGACAGAACTCCAAGTTAGAGGATTCTTTTTCATTAAGTCATTACTTATTTTAAGTTCAAGTAACAGCACTGGAAGTTCAACTAAGAGTTGATAAACATGATCAGTGAAACTCACAATTGTTTGTCCTAAATTTTGGATCTTTACTTGGAAAGTGTAGATGTTAGTATATGCTTATGCTATACTGGCCAGCAGTGCTCGTAACAGTATCTATGAGTACTAATAGGCTTATGCTATATTACTGTATTTATAATGCTAATCAGCTAATGAGATATGATAACTCATATATGACAACTACAGTAGGAAATTCAGATAACCATATTCATTTTTTCAGTAGTCTCAGTTTTGAGTTTTGCTTTTCCCTTGCCTGAGTTTACCTAATGGAATCATTTGAAATTCATCCGTAGGGAAACAAGGTAAAATTGCTGAATACTACAAAAAACAAGAAAGGCTGCTTGAAGGGTTCAATGAGATGGACACCATTAATGAATCTGGTTGTTTACCTGGAAGTCTAACTGAGGTGTGTTTCTGGAATCTGGATACTGTTTTCAATTGATGATAAGTATGTGAATTTTTGTATCGACCGATCATGTTTGTTCAGGATGAAATGAAGCAGCTTGCAAGAAGTGAAAGGATGGCTATTCATTTATCAAACATGGCTAATGTGGTTCTTTTCATTGCAAAAATCTACGCTTCTATTGAGAGCAGATCTTTGGCTGTAATCGCGTCAACGTTGGACTCCCTCTTAGACCTCTTATCAGGGTTTATACTGTGGTTCACTTCTCATGCCATGAAAAATCCAAACCAGTATCACTATCCTATTGGAAAAAAGAGGATGCAGCCATTGGTGAGTCTTCAAATATATGTGACATCCCTTAAAAGAATTATCTCTGGCATTTGTTCTGTTTCGTGTCTGCGATAAAATGACCTTAATGTTCAATTCATGGATCATATTTTACCTTGTTTCTGTAGAACCCTTTTTACTCATTAGATGCAATTTGTTCAGGGTATTATTGTTTTTGCATCTGTAATGGCGACACTAGGATTACAAATATTGTTCGAGTCAGCTAAAGAACTCATAACTAAGGTATGTGAATTGCTTCACTTCAACTATCCTGAGAATTTTCAGAGCAGCAGGTTCTTATGGTTAGTAGAGTTTTGAGTTTCTAAAATCTTTTACATCAAGACAAAAAAAAACATGCAATTTATAGGAAACAAGAAGACGAAAAACGGGTTGAGTTACTACTGAAATGAAGTTGTAGCCAAACCAGTTAGGCCAAAGATGTTTACATAAGATAAATTAGGCTACTGTATACTACCTAATAAAAAGGGACTGGTTTTGATATTTCTACTGATGTTGCATAGCTAAGTGAAGATTAACTCGCATAGTGCTACTTCAATTGTAGGATATAGACTTGTAACTTACTGCAATTTCACTAACAATTGCATTACCCTTGACATCTTAATCTACGTTTGTTGTTTCGGTGGTTCTATGCTTACGATCAGTCTCGCCCTGAGATGGACCATGAGAAGGAAAAATGGACGATTGGTATTATGGTCTCTGTCACTATGGTCAAGTTTCTGCTTATGGTCTACTGTCGAAGGTTCAAAAACGAAATCGTAAGAGCCTATGCTCAAGATCATTTCTTTGATGTCATCACCAACTCAGTTGGATTAGTGACTGCTGTCTTAGCAGTCCGATTCTACTGGTGGATTGATCCTACGGGAGCTATAATTGTGAGTTCACAATCACAACTCAAATATTTCAATTAGTAAGCTTGTAAATATATACTCCAACCTTGTTTCACACTGCTGGTGATGTTAAGAGTCTAATACATCTTGCATATTCAGATAGCTATGTACACAATTAGCACGTGGGCGAAGACAGTGGCAGAAAATGTCTGGTCACTCATTGGAAGAACAGCTCCACCAGATTTTCTTACGAAATTAACCTATCTTATATGGAATCATCACGAAGAGATCAAGCACATTGATACTGTTCGAGCATATACTTTTGGTGCTCATTATTTTGTAGAGGTTGATATAGTGTTGCCAGAGGACATGCTGTTGAACAAGGCACATAATATTGGTGAGACACTGCAAGAAAAATTGGAGCAACTCCCTGAAGTTGAGCGAGCTTTTGTTCATATAGACTTCGAGTTCACTCACAGGCCAGAACACAAAACTATGGTATAATGACACCAGAATTTAAACTCTATGTGTTCAACCTTAAAGATTTTTAGCGTTGAATCAATCATATTTTTAAAGTTATGGGTTCATTTCTACTATTTGTTGCAATTTTAATAATTTTTACGCATAAATTTGTATTTCGCGTCGAAAGTACTAGGTTCACATGAATCCGGTATCAAAGGGCTAGATCCGCCCCCTGACTACACATCATTTACGGTGTTTCTTTTTGTAACTCAAAATAATTTTAATGGTGCTTCTTAGAGTTGAATCTGTGAATTAGTCGCACCTTTAAGGCTTATGAGATGGGACATTAGCATCTCAAATCTATTGCAGCCGCATTGGCGATTGATTGTGTTGGATATGAGCGCTTAGTTAACCATGTAAAATTATCCTCGTACAAGTCTAACTATAGTATAGAAAAATTATCGTCCCAAGGATTGATTTCTCCTATGAACAAGTTAGTTTTGCTTGATTACCATTCGAGAAATCATAGTAGGTATGAGAATTGATTTAAATACACAATGAAATTAAATTAAACTTAGTTAAGTGTCAAGGGAGCACCCTCCACTTCCAACCAAGAGTGTTATAACTCTGTATTGCTGTAATAAACAATTAAACTTTCTGAAAAAATAAAACAGAAAGTTAGTAATACTTGTTTAACGAAATAGATTCTGAAAAATAAAAAACAGTATAGGAACAAATCGAGCCCACTGAATACACAGTGTGTCCTTAAGAAAATTATTCCCCTCAAGTACCCGAGGTGCTGGAATATATCCTCCCAGGATAGAACGATTTAACTCACCAGTGTATTGGTACCAAAAACTCTGATGAACTGCGAACCACTCAATGGTCGTAAAACACACTGGAAAATATTGTGCAGAAGAAGAAGAAGAAGAAGCTCAGAAAATTTCGTAAGGAAAGATTCTGGGATTCAAACTCTATTTATAGAGTTGCTGGCATTGTTTCTGAAAAGGTTTGCAACCTTTCAGAAACAGCCATGGCTGTTGGAAAAGGGGTGTTTGAAATGTTGCGAAAAAATGTATTTAAAATAATCCGGGAAAGAAAACGGGCCTGACCGAACAGGGTCGCGGGTCATGGGTTATTCCGGATTGAATTTTTTGTTAATTATTTAATTAATTAATTAAATAATTGAAAGGAATTTTGTCCAAAAGATTAATCAATCATTAACCAAATTCAAATCCGAAGCCGAAGCCGAAGCCGAAGCCAAAGCCGAGCCGAGCGACGACGACGACGGCTACGGCGCGAGGCTTGCCTTTTTCTTAACTCTTTAAGAGCTAGAAGAAGAGCAATTATATATATACCCATCAAAAGCCTTTTCTTCCTCCGATATGGGACAATGTCCCTTTCCCAAGGGAAACTCAAATATTTTATTTTCCCTCCATTTCTCATTCACCATCTTTAAGCTACACAAGCTTAAAATTCCAACAATCCCCCACATGAATGAGAAATGGCTATAAAATAAAGGAATGCACGGACGCGTGTGTGTTTTACATGCAAGAATTAATTG